CCTCCCTCCCTCCCTCCTTCCTTCCTTCCTTCCTCTGTCCCTTCCTACTACCCCCTCTGCCCACCCACCACCCTTCCTTCCTTCTTTTTGTGTAATTATTCAAAAGCCATTTTTTTGAAAATTCTGTCCTTTCTCCACTGAATTGCCTTTGCTCATTTGTTGAAAATTGGTGAACTATTTATGTGGGTCTATTTCTAGACTATTTATTCTGATCTATTGATATATTTGCCTATCTTGGCTTTAACATTACACAATCTTGATTTATAATAAGTTGTGAAATATGGTCCTGTAAGTCCTGCAACTTTGTTATTTTTTTAATAGTTATTTGTTACTCTTGATCCTTTGCATTTCTATATGAATTTAAGAATGAGACTGTCAATTTCTGCACAAACCATGGTAGAATTGTAGGGATTGCATTGTATTTATAAAACAATTCATGGCAATATTGATTAACCCATGAATATAATATACTTCCCCATTTCTATAGGTCCTATTTATTTTCTTGCAGTGATGTAGTTTGTAGTGAATAGATCTTTTCTACCTTTTATTTTTTTTAGATTCATCCCTAAGTATTTCACATTTTTAGGCTATTTTAAGTGGTATTATTTTAAAATTTCCATTTCTGATTTTTTGTTGCTCTATATAGAATACAATTCATTTTTGTATATGTATCTGGTACAATGTTAAATAGAAGTGGTAAGAGCAGATGTCCTTGTCCTGATAGTAATTTTAGGGACAATACATTTCATCTTTAGCCATTAGGTATGATGTATTTAATTTTTTATAAATACCCTTTGTCAGAATGAAAATGTTGTAGTCAATTTCTACATTGCTGAGACTTTTAATCAGAAATGTGTTTTGATTAGATAGATTGCTGTTTCTGCATCTATCAAAATGGTTATACATTTTTTTTTGGTTTTTATAGTTTGTTAATATAGTGAATTACATTAATTGACTTTTTGAATGTTAGACCATCCTTGCATTGATGAGAGAAAGACCATTTATTCATAATGTATTATCCTTTTTATAAATTGTTGGACTCAGTTTGCTAAAAACATGTTTAGAAATTTTGCATCTGTGTCCATGAGGGATATTTGTCTGTAGTTTCCT